CACAAATATTCGTTAAAATTACAACAATTTATAAGTTTATAGTATAATTACAACCATTTCGAATGTTTAGTTTTATTGACCTTTATAGTTGTGCGAGAGTTTTAAATGTAACGCGGTCGTTTTAGTTTAGGGGTGATTAATTTGTTGGAGTGTTCAAAAGATCCGAAAAAATTAAAGCAGCCCAATACAATTGTTTTTCCCCTTTTCTGGGTTGGGTTATTGAAAATTAATTTAAGTTACATTGAGTTCAATGTTTTTGGAAACTTAGATTGGTTTGATTTAGTTTTTGGATGATCCATTTAGTTGAACCAACTTCAACCCAACCCAATCTATGTGTAATATATAATCATAAATTTTTAAATTTGAACTTAGACTTAAAGATTCAAGTTCATTTCCATTTCTAATCCAAAATTGATTTTGAGTTGAAACCAAATCCAAATCATATGAGATTGGATTAACTGTTGAGAATTATTTTTGGTTAGTCCAATTTTTTAAACACATATTTAAAAGCTACCTACCTCAACGACAAAACTATATAAGCTATGAGTTAATTTTGATTGAAATATGATATAGAACCAATCCAAACTCAATTCAACCTAATTTTTATGGGTTAGTCTGGGTTACCTTCATAAGTTACAAAGGTTTATTTGGTTGTATGAGTCTAAGAAACCAAACGATTAGGTCAAAATCCAATCCACGAACACCTAAATGTTGTACATTTTTTCAAAGTATCACTAAAATATTTATAACAATGTGTCTTAAATAGCCAACATGAGCACAACTCACAGTTAAGGCATCTTATTTCCTTCCAGGGAGGTCCGAACCCCAATCCTACCTTTATTTTACTAAAAAAACATGTCTTAAATTGCAATGATTTTATTAAGGGTAAATTGCAAAAACCACCCCTGAACGCTATAATAATTGTTGCAAATACACTCACAAACTTTTAATTGCAAAAATTAAACCCTTCCACTTAAATAATGGTTCAAATTAAATCTCTGTGTTAGATAGGTTAACCTTTAAAATAAAGTCGTTCATTAAGTTAGAGAATCACGCCTAACAAACAAAAATCTTTCCTGGAGAGAGGGAGAAAACGAAGAGTTTTCAAGATTTTTAGATGAAAACAAAGGCAAAATCAATTTTTAAACAAGATCACTACTTGGATTCCAGTTTCAATCGTAATATATATGTTCAGCTTGGGAGTGTTCATGGTAAGTAATACAGAATCAAGTATCATTTTCTTACATTTTCTCCTTTTCATAAGTTTGGTTGTAGAGTTTTGAACGCAGCTGAGTTTTGATATTTTCCTTTTCAATTTTATTGTTAAGTCACTTGATATTATAGAAAAAATGGAGATGAAAAGTTGCTGAAATTTTTGTGTGAGTTCGCTTATGGAGGTTCATACGTGGAAGTAGATGAAACCATTCTTATTATTATTATTTTTTTCTATAGAAGAAACCTCACCAAATTAGTTTCTGTTGGTTGGCGCCTTGACATTGTTTATGTACGATTCTTGTTGTTCAAGTTGAATTAATTTTGTTTGAGAAAAATGTGAAACCTGTATTTTGAAAAAAAATTTTAATGATAAATTCCTCTTACGAAGGAATGAACTGTAATTTTACTATCGATGGATCGAGAAACTTCTCATGCAAGATTCAATGCTTTAGACGTTCTTGAAATTTTTTAGTTGAATTTTAGTCTTGCTTTATTATTTTATTTCCAATACCTCTATAGAGTACTCAACCCATTCGTCAGTTGCTAAATTTTGAGTTCTTAATAATTAGGTCACTTTGTCTTTCAATTTCTTCTTAATTTTTTTTTCACCGATTAGTGCAAATGCAAGATGTATCTTATTTAGTGAACTTAATGCAGATTATTGTAAAGTAGTTTAATCTTGAAAACAAGTTAAATAGTCATTGTTGTGTGCACTATATTTTTTCTTGAGACTTCAGGATATTTTTTTTTAACTTATATCAATTTAAAGGAATGTATGAAGAGAGCATCATTTTTTTTAACTTATGTCAATTTAAAGGAATGTATGAGGAGATCTATGGTTTTGTTTTGAAGCAACGCATGTGGAGATCTATGGTTTGTTTTGAGACAAATATACATACTTCTAAATATAGGTTGCATATAAATTTTGAGTTCTATCCACACTTAGTAAACAAGGAACTATTCTGATTAGATCTTCTCAATTCCTCACAGTAATCCCATAGCTTGGCATATTGCATCTCAATTGTGCCTTCAAGCTTACGCATTGCAATCTTTCTTGCTCTATATGCTTGATGCCTTGAGATGTTAATATTAAAGTCCTTCCTCACAAGATCTACAATTGCTTTCCAATCCATGTCTAGTTGAGCCCTAAATCTGTAAAAGTAGTGCTCAATGTCACAATCGCACCTTTTCAAAGCAGCTCGAGCGATTGTGCGGCACTTGCTCTAGCTCAAACGAGCAAGTCAGCCAGGAAAAATTGTAAGTTGCGGACAATCTCGGTCGTGGGTCTAGCCTCCGCTCACGTTTTAGGAGAAAATTGGTTTTAGAAAACGTGAGAGAGAAAAACAGTTGAAAACATCTTTAAAACAAGCATTGTAGACATTGGATGCAAGAAAGCTTTGATTGCAAGAAAGTATACAACACTTGGTCGGGGGTAGGTTTGATGACTACTTGGTCCCCCTAAGGTACATTATAAGACATTTTTGGTGTGGCAGGTGTAGACGTCCTAAGTGGCGAGGAGTCACTCGGTGGCCTACAGGGCCCGTGTGAACTCCAATTGGCTTGGAATTTGGCGTGCTTACATATCTTACTAATACACACCTAGTTCCAAAGCCGCTCGGCCAAATTCCACCTACAACCCCAAAAACCCGATACAAGAAAATTACACTAGAAAGCTTTAAAGACATGAAAGGAAAGCGAGTGGTGAGGATGGTTTGGACATGCGGCCATGGGTAACACACCCTGGACAAGCAAGCCAACTGGCCGTTGCATGCTTATTGGTTGTATTTCTAGCGTAGGACTGTGTACTATATAATGACTTAATTCAGTTCATACATTCATCTTGTCTGTTAGAGGCATACAACCTCCAATTGCACCCATCTTGACATCTCACTATAACATTTCCAGGTTCATTTTTCTGGTAAATCAATTCATGTCCAAATCGTACATAATATTCTCTTATTGCATCTCTCAATTTAGTTAATGTTTCAAATTTCATCCCTAATATAAATTCTATGTTATCCTTCAACATAGAAGGATGGAACTCAACATACTTTTGTGATCCCTCGACAACATCATCATCAGAATTGAATGGGTGAGTTTAGGTCTAAAGGAACCACATTCAGAATTACACAATTCGTCATCCTCTAAATATAAACCTATACCACCATCCCCTAAGTTTAACCCCACACTATCAAACTTTTCATTAAACAATTCATCATCATCCTCTCCATTATAATCAAGGTTTAGTAGCTCTCCTAAGTGCATTCCTCTATCGCTACTACCACAAATATCGTCTAATTCTAAACTATTATGTGACTCTTTTATGGCAATAGGTGTTTTTGCAATCACTTCAACACCCACAAAGCTTTCTCCTTCATCGAAAATATTGCTAGGGTTCTCTACATATATATGTAGTATTTTCTTATGAGCAACGCAATTTAACATGTCGAAAAGATTCCTATCTGGCTATAAAAGTCTTAATCCTCTATCAAAATCCATATCTAGAATTAAAAAGTATATTTTATTCCAATCTAATGCATTTACCTCTCTCAGTGTTTCTTCAATTTCAGGGACATGGACATCATATAAGAACTACAATTTTATGTATCAACCCTCCTGTATATGATGTTCTGTCATTATAAATAAATCGACCTCCATGATGTAAATATATTGTGAAAAGATATTCTCCCATCTGACCAACATGCTAAAAAAATCATCTACGTAACCAAAATCATAAAAAAAAACCCACTAAAGTTGAGTTTACTTTAAAAAAAAATTACCTCTATTGGTTTTCCTGAGTCTTCTTTTAAGAACTTCATCAGTTATGGAAGACCTAACATATAATAAATAAGCATTCATTAATTATTGTTATATGAGGTTTCTTCTATAAAAAAACAATGATTTCATCTATTTTCACATATGAACCTCCATAAGCGAATACACAAAAAAACTTCTCCATGTTTGCTATAATATCAAGTGACTTAACAATAAAATTGAAAAGGAAAAGATCAAAACTCAGCTGCATTCAAGACTCTACGGCCAAACATATGAAAAGGAGAAAATTTAAGAAGATGATACTCGATTCTGTATTACTTACCATTGAACACTCCCAAGCCGATTATATATATTATGATCAAAACTGGAATCCAAGTAGTTATCTTGTTTAAAATCGATTTTGTCTATCTTCGTTTAGAAATCTTGAAAACTCTTTGTTTTCTCCCTTCCTCGCATGATTCTCTAACTTAAATGAATAACTTTATTTTATTTTTCTTTTTATTTTTTAAAACATCAGTTTGTTTTTTAAAGGAGAACTTAGGTTAACCTAACTAACAGAGAGGTTTAATTTGAATCATTATTTAAGTTGGACGGTTTAATTTTTCGGGTGTATTTGCAACAACTATTATAGTTTAGGGTCGTTTTTGCAATTTACCATTTTATTAATTTTCAAGAAAATTGTTCAAATTCAAGGTCCATGGGTTTATATAACAATCTATAATTAATAGTTAAAATGTGGTTTTTTTTTATAGAATTTCAAGATGTGGTTTTTTGCCCTTTTCCTTTTTAAAAATAAATGGATGATTAATTATAAATTATCTTTCACTTTGATAAAATTCTTATATTTTAAAAAAGTTGAACTTCATTCTATTTAGTTTAATTTTTGGAGGACTTATTTTAGTTTTATTGTTTAACGTCGTTCATAAAATATATGGAACACCCAATATTAATCCACTATCAAGCTTTTTGAAAGAAATTATGAAGAATTTTTCGGAAGAATCATATGGAAATAAGATAGGAAATGAAAGACCTTTCATTTCTAATAAGTAAGACTACAATCTCTAATCAAATTCACCCATAAGGCAAACTTATTGTTGAACCTTAAACCGAAAAAGTAAAGAACCTAAAAGAAACCCACAAACAAACAAGAAAAGCTAGAATTGAGCGTTACAATTCCAGAACAGACAAAACTACAGACATTATTAATTAAACATTATTTAATTATTCCATCAAAGATACTAAATTAGCACTGGAAGCCGTTTGGAAGATTCTTGTTGCAGGCATTGAGGAGCAGGCTGAGGGAGAGGGGTATGTTGAGGTTGTTGCCCAAAACATTGGCTTTAATGGCAGTGCAAAGGCAAACAGCAGCTTCAAGATCCGCGAGGCCATTGATCAGACTGCAGCACGGAGTCACCGGCGGGTGGCCAATGGAAACATTGACAAGACCACCGAGCAATTTGGCACAGACGCCGAGTTTAAGAGTATTTTTGGGGCATTTCTTTCCTTGCTCGGGTGAAGGCGTGGGGTGGGGGTGGGACGGAGCGTAGCAGTCGTTGCAGGCAGTGACGAGCGAGAGGAGGAGATTGAGAGAGAGGAGAAAGGCGAGAGAGGCCGTAGCTTTGGAAGCCATAGTTTGAAGAGGGGAACGAATTAGCTCTTGAAATTTAAAAGGAAATGAAGAAGCTAATTCTGAGCTGAGGGTGTGGTGGGAGAATTGGGAGAAGGGTAGGGTTTTTATAGGGTTTGAAGGAGAACGTGGCGTCCAAGGATTAGCAAAACTCATAAAAGAACTCCATCATCTCACCCATATGACTGCTCTTAGGATTTTAGCTGGCTCGGAAGTTCTGCCAAAGTTTTGGAACCTTGTGACATGGGGACTCACAATTTCCATTTTTAAATTTTCCTCTAACTAACTTGAAAGGTTGACGAGATCCAGATTTTCGGTGGAAATAAAATTTCATATTGATTGAAAATGAGATGAGCAAGAAATCAATTTACGAGAGTATCTATAATTTATAAATGGTTGATATGAAATATAATGAGAAGAAAATATACCTTTTTAGCTGTTGAAATTATGTTGGGTTTGCGAGGAGTATAAACAAGGTCTCACGTCCTCCCTCTCTTCTTCATTAAGTAATCTTTGTAACATATTATTGAGTAACGTTATGGGCTCGCTTATGTGGTCTATTTGGTTGGAAAGGAACAACCGAATTTTTATGATTCCTTTAAATCTGCCTTTCACCTTTGAGAGGATATAAAGGTCTTAACCTCAACATGGTCTTTGAAATCAAACCTCTTTTGTAACTATGATATCTTCACCATTTCCTTCAAAAGGAGTTCTTTCATATACCCTCCTTCTTGTAATTTTTACATTTGTCACATACTCTTTTGAAACCTCGGTAACTTTTACAAGAAAAAAAAAATCATAATATAGAAGAGAGAACAATATATGGTTCATGACTTCATGTGGTAAATCTTGTGTTCACCTTTGTAGAAAAAAAGTGCAAGTGTTAAAGAATAATATTTTAAATCATTAAATTTATCTCTAACCTATACATTTTTAGTTTAATTATTTTTGGTGGGATGTCTTTCTATAAATAACAAAGATATACGGTAATTATGATGGTTGGTAACATAATTTTTCAACTATTTTCTATTTAAACTTTTTATATGTAATAACTCCTCAGAATTAATAGTTGCATCTATTTAATCTATAATTTTTTAGAAAAAATAAATTACATCTATTAACTTTTAATCTGTAATTTTATGTCGTAGCTCCTGCCACTAACAATAATACAAACTAAATGATTATATTTCTTAAGTAAATGTTAGTTAAATTTAGTTGGTAACAGTAGATAAATGGGTTGAAAAGATGCGCAACTCGATATTATAGGGTGACATAATCTATAAAAAAAACTTTGATAAGTTGCTTAAAGAAATCAAGAATATGTTAAAGATGGTATATCATAAAATAAATAAATTAGAGATTGCTCTTTGTATTTTGATTTTTACAATATAATGTTATTTCATTTTAATTGGAGACATGTGTACCACTTCCAAATGTACGAATTTTTAATTGAAAGGCAAAACATTTCCATGAAATGAACCTAAGATTCCAAATTACAAGATTCTAATATTAAATTACAAAAATTATAACAAACAAATAAATGTAATTACATAGAAGGGCAGAGCGAGAAAGTAAAGAGGAATAATGCTGTCTTAGATGATAAAAAATTATATTAACAAGTTAAAGGTTTTAAATTAAAAGATCATATAAAAATGTAGAACGAAAGTTTTTGCTCCTCCATAAATTTGTTTTTCTACCGAACAACTACTTAGTTTTTACCAATATAAGCATTCATAATTCAACCGTTAAAATATATGATTCATTATCTAGAGTTTAAAAGTTCAATCTTCCATCCCCTGCCTCTACTATACTAAAAAGACTATTCTAAAAAGTTTTTTTATATATAATAATAAATTACCTAGTTTATGTCTTCAATTCTATAAAGTTTAATTTAGATTTATAAATTTTCAATTTTGATTCTAACAATATTATTGTTAACCACATCCGACAAGTTGATTGAATGATAAATGAGTGGTTTGACATGATATGCTAGAAGAGAGTAGATTAATTGGATAAAATAAATTTTGGTTGGCCAAAAAATTGGAGCACAAGCAAACGGGATAAATTTTAAACAAAAAATTATAAATTTGATCTACTTCATTATGTCACGTCACGCTAAATCATCATATATCTATTGCAACCATTAATTTTTCAAGATCTCAAGGTCTTGTTTTCTTGACCACAAAACGATCTCCTGACAAAGTTCCAATTTAAAAAGGAAAAATTGCAGCTCACACCCCTGTTAAACTATATAATTCTTACCATTTAACTCTAAAATTTTTAATTGGGAGAATTATATACATCTCCTAATTAAAATCATGATACTATTACTATAAAATCCTATGTTATAACTCTAAATTGCAACAATTTCATAAATTTGAGAGTTTAACTACAATGATTTATTGGATTTTTTGATTAACAAATCATATGGTTTGAGTTTAGTTGTAATAATATTTTGAGTCTAAAAACAAACAATAGAGAAAGTAGAGAGAGATTCTCTCCCTGCTTCATCCGAATGCCACACTACTGCCAACTTCCAAGATGATGCATCATAAAGAAGAAAGAGTCCAAAGCATCAGACCAACAGAAGAACTAACCACAGCAATGTCATCCTATAAGAAATTGGGCTTTACAGATCTTTCTCTATGTCGTTGAACCAAGACTCCATAGCTTGGTTAAATGCCTCCTTCACAACCCTCATGGCGTCCCCCAGAACTRATCGATTTTTCCAAGAACGGAGATACAAAATGACTACTTTCTCTGGATGAAAAAAACCTCGAACCAWAGAGGATGTTGGATTTTGTGCCCTTAGCTCGTGTATTTGTAATTAATAAACAATTTATTTTTTTCAATACAGAGTTATTTTTTTGCATTACTCGTATTCCAATAAACTAAGATCCAATGTTATTTCATCTAACTTAACCGTATATATTTGACATACAATATATATTTAATATACAAGGTATATATTTGATATACAATTAATATACAGTATATATTCGGTATACGAGTGGATAATGTTCCAGCAAAAACCTAAATGATCTATATTACATATGGATAAGGTTGAGTACCTTATCCTGGTAACACTGTGGATACGACCCGCTTTGTAATAATGACAAACGACTCCATCCAGATCGTTTATGTGGAGACATGTGAGTGGAGGTATCCTACACAATATACTTAGGTACGGGAATGAAAAACTCGCAAAGAATCAAGATACAATTACCTCAAATAATGATCTTGATCTGCTCTCTTTGTGTGTTGTCAACGCCTCGAGCCATCACCTCAAATCTTCCATAAAACCCTTTGAAAATCGGCTGAAGAATCAAACCCCACGGCTCGAAAAAACCCTAAAATATGAAACTGCACTGCTTATAACATCGATATAGCGCCATGACACTACGGACGAAAAAAAGTTTGCACGTGCCCCATTGGGACACCGCTACGATGCTGCCCCCCAACGCCTTTGTTGGGTTTTATTCACATTCCTTCAGCCTTGGTGCAGCCTCCTCGGCCATTCTGGCCTAGCACTCCACTACACCTGTTTTCATCCCTTTTCGTCTCGACACATTCCGACTCATCCCTAGCTTGTTTCAACGTTGATTTGGCTCCACCAATCCCAACAATTTCAATTGGAAAAATTATTTGTCCTCTAAACTCACCTTAACTTTTCATTAAGACCGAATCATTGTAAGTAACTTTATTGCTTGTTTTTATTAATGATTATATTTAATTGCAACAATTTTATAAGTCGAAAAGTATAATTACAACAATTTTGAATGTTTAGTTTTAATAACCCTTATAATTGTGAGAGTTTTAATTGTAACTGTTATCGAGGGAAAATTGAGATTCCACGTGTCAATCGTCATTAGCTCATCAAAACATGTGGGTTGGGTGAAAGAAGAACCATTAAAGATTGAGCGAACCGGACCTAATCCCTAGCACATTTGGATATCTCGCGTACAAATGGATAGCTAGCTGCAGCTAGGGTGCTGACACCCTATACCCAAACTATGATACGCCTTGTAAGATTACCCAGAGTGTTGTCACGCACCACATCTGCAYCACAGAAGGGAAAAGAGGATGTCGGTGGTACCCACGAACCCCGAGTGCAGCATACCACCTCTCTGTGTCTGCCTCACACAAAAAACCCCTCACTCCATATATAAAGAAAAGAGAGCAACCCTAATCGAGGTAAGTCGTCCCCCTTACACATCTCCTTTTGAGAATTCGACACACACCGTTAAGCAAAATCTCAACCCTCGAGATTACTGCCMTTTTGCTCTATTTGCTCCATACTTGTCTACTCCTAAAACTTGAATTCAACAGTAAGCATCAAAGTTCATTGGGTAGATCACCATGTCGATACTAGATTTTAATTATGTACAGAAAATAGAGACCTTAGAGATGAAGGTATCYGTGGCACCTACGTAACAYTGATGTGGCACTTGCCCATAAATTGGCATCAACAACAACCTCCCGTATAGTCGCTATGGGTGGTTCATTGTGCTTCTTGCTACTTACTGTTTTTTTTTCTCAAGACTTCTGTTTAATTTTTGTCTTTTACATCATCAACACCAATTAATCAATTTAACAATCTTTTTGAGAGAAGTTATAAAAGAAATTTTGGAAGAATTATGGAAATAAGATAGGAAATGATATAGGTCCATTTCTAATCAGTAAAACTACAATCACTAATCAAATTCAGCAATAGGCAAACTTATTGTTGACCCTTAAACCGAAAAGTAAAAGAACCCAAAAGAAACCCACAAACAAACAAGCAAAGCTAGAATTAAGTGTTACAATTCAAAAATAGACAAAGCAAAAAACAGCAGACATTAATTAAACATTATTGAATTATTCAATCAAAGGTACTAAATTAACACTGGAAGCCGTTTGGAAGATTCTTGTTGCAGACATTGAGGAGCAAGCTGAGGGAGAGGGGGATGTTGAGGTTGTTGCCCAAAACATTGGCTTTAATGGCAGTGCAAAGGCAAACAGCAGCTTCAAGATCGGCGAGACCATTGATCAGACTGCAGCACGGAGTCACCGGTGGGTGGCCAATGGTAACATCGA